TTTGTGGGTGAATCTCCAGTAGGTTTCTATTTTCCTGGTTCCTTAAGCAAATCCAAGAACAGCATATGATTTTCTCAATTGGTATGCCCTCAAAAATGAGCGGAGCAAACATGGCGTGGGTTACGCCATAATTTATTCAGGGTTTATGTTAGTCAAGTAAATATTACTAACTCTTAGTTGCCACAAACTCCATTAGGCTTGTGAGGAGGACGATGCCATCCAAGTTTTGTCAATTGTAGATTGGGTTGGAGGCCTTTTTTTGTGTCACCCTGGAGTGCCACGAATGTTTCATCCTGGTACCTAGGGGTGTTGCCCCAAAAACATCTAGTGAAGTGTCCCGAAGAAATTCTACGGCTTCCCCAGTTGATGTGTGCGCACTCACCTGCTCGTTGTTCTTCCCACGGTTTTTTCAGAGCAACATTGAGGCCTGTTGGGGGACCTTCCTGGATCTTTAACGCTTAGCAACAAACATGCGGAGAAAGAACGCAGAGGTGGAAAAACGTGTTTGACCGGCAATAGGATTCCTCCGTTTTCGGCAGCTGCCCAATAGGCGAGTCAACTCGGCTGCCCAAAAGAAAGTCATTTTGGCCTAGGCATGCCTATGTAGGCTACGTCCTGCGGTGTAAGCATAAGTTGGGTCTATTCGGGTTTGTTTATTGAAATATGCACTCCCCCACAAACTAGCATAGAACCTGAAATTGATCCGTGGCAGACTATTTTCCTCTACAACCCAGTAGTTTGGGGGTTCCATGTTAATTTGTAGAGCAGTAAATTTATTATGAATTAATGATGTGCAATGACTGGCGAGTACCTGGAACCCAGATATGACCCTTTTTTGCATAGGACAAGGTCATGGCTACAGTCCATCACTCACCTTGAGTCAAACATTTTGTGTCATGGTTAAACCAGTTCTGCTTTTCGTGTATGTAATATTTTAGGCCTTTAGGCCCCAATTTGCAAAACAAACCTCGTTTTGGGTTTAAGTCCCATTAATAGTGGGTGAAGGAAGTTGCACATGTTTGACGTCCGCTGTCCTTTTTGAGGTCTATACAGTGGGCCAGAGGTGAGAAATGGCGCACCCCTACATGTCTTGTTCGGGGGGGATCCACATAAACCTCCGACTACTTGGGGGCCACTGCGCCAGGTGAGACATGGTGAGACGACAGGGGGTCGACCGTCGATCCGATCGGTCATGAAAAAGAACGAAAGAAGGGGACAGGTGTTGTTGATTGAAGGAGAAGATCTGCGAGAATCCAGATGAAACCCGTATACTAGATTTTACTATAGTACGTATGTACTCTATAGTATATGTTGTTTAGTTGGTAATGTTTATTATTTGTCATTATATATGTTGAAGGCTGATTGGAGCAGCTTTCACCCTCCGGCCTATGCATCACCAAAATACGTTGAGTGGTCGCGAGACGCCTTCACGTCGTCACTTACATTTCGGTCACGTCTTCCTTTGTCCCTCGTGTTTAGATGTGGATTCTTGGATGAATCAAAGCCCGCCCTGCTTGGATCAAAACAGCAGACTCGTAGACTCAAGAGTCTATACTAACTTGCTCTGCCAAGAGAGGTTGAGAGACCTTGTAGGACCCTGTAGTGGTACATATGGGATGCGCGAAACGGGGCTGTTCAACCTCTCTACGTGTGGCCAGCCGGCTCGCAGGACAGCAGGACAGCCGAGCGCACCGGGCGCACGAGCCTTCGGATCCTTCTGTCCCCGTCAGGTGGGCGACGAGGTCCTTCAGATCACCCCGCGCCATCCCTTGATGAGACGCTGGGTGAACACATGCGGTGTCGGGGCGCGACGCGGGTGTGCCCCGCAATAAACATACCAACCGTTGGGATGGGTTCGTTTGTACAGAGAAGGACCTGAAAGGAAGACGTGTGGATTTGAGATGATTACATATGCTTTGAGCAAGTGTTCAGTCTGGTCCAGCATGGGTTGCACCAATCGTTTCTTTGTTGTTGAGTCCAAGAGGCCAAGGGTTTCACCGGCCATGTTGGCGATGTCGGTCTATGTTGCGTGTTCCAAAAACCGGCGGAATCCGCGCAGCGTAGACGCAAACACAAGGAGTCTCAATCCGTCCTACTCGGTCATTCCAGGTCCTTTGAACTTGTTCGGTCCCCCCGCTGCCTGCGCCGGTTCCTCCCGATTTGGAGTTGGTCTTCCCCTTTATTAAAGTAGGGAGAAGGGAGACCTCCCAAAGACATCCAAAGACCCCCCCAGCAAGAAGGGAAATAGACCACAGCCATTTGATTGTGGTCCTGCTTTTGAAACACTCACACCCATCAGACCCATATCGCTGTGGACACTCTACTGCGCCCCCCCAAAATGTGAGAATCTCCATGGTACGCCCCTTCCTTGGATGAAGAAGGTTGTTGACTTTGGCGAATCGGAAGGGCGACAATCAAACCTGGACATCCCAAGAAACCACCACATTGCTGAGCCAAGAGTCCTGTTCGTGGATTGCAAGCTGTGTGTTTGTTGATTTTTGTTTGTGTGTTTGTTTAATTTTGTTTATTTTTCTGTGTGTCTTTACCATTTACAGTAGTTAGTCAGTCGGTTTGTGTGGCCAACCCCTGACAGCATCCCACCTTGACTTGGCAGTCGCCCCAGTCGTCCCAGTTCCCCCCCCTCCCGGCCTCAGGAAACGCGGAGATCGCCAGGGAGCTCAGGAAGACGAAAGCGCAACGCAGGAAATGGGGGTCGTCGTTTGCGAAACGCCATTTTTGCGGTGACTGGCGCGGCTTGGCGCTTGGCGGTGATGAAAGGATGTGCCCTGGCGGTGTTTTCGTTGTTTGGGATTGGTGTTGATGTAAAATATCAAAACTGGAGATCCAGTTTTATACATAGATATGGACCATATGAGCACCGTCAAAAACCTCCATGTGAGGGTTTTATCATGGTGTTGTCCTCCAAAACCTTCGCGAAAGGCAAAAGCTGGGGCGCGAAAGGTCTGAGAAAGGTTCGCGAAAGTTGCGCTTTATATGGAGTTTGCGAAAGGGCTCGCGAAAGGTTCTGATTGAATGGGTCATGTTAGCGTTTAGCTGTCTTTTTGCGTGTGTTTCAGGCTAAACTCCAAAGGTTCAACTAGATGTCGCAACCTCCCTTGCCTTCCACATGTGGTGTTCGCAGCTGCTGTGGGGACGTAAAGCTGACGCAGGTGAATGGATACAGCCAACTCGGCGAAACAACTAAACAACCAAGGCCAGCAACACTAAACAAGAACGAACAAAAAAAAACCAAGCAAACTCGGCGAAATCCGCGAAAGGCTCGCGAAAGGTTCGCGAATGCGGCGCGAAAGGCGAACTGCTCAAATCTGCCCCTTGGTCCACAGGTTCGACTTGGAAAGCCCGAACGTCAAGGATGTCCAATAAGGCAATCTGCTAAAAAAGGTGGTGCAGGCACTAGAGAACCAGTTTAGAGGGGAAAGGCCAACCACTTTGTTTCTGTGCACAGTCCCCAAACAGAGAGCTAAGCATATCACATCAATTTTCTTCCATCGCCTACCGCTTACCAGAGTCCCTCAACAGGAACACGCCGGCCCCACTCCGCCCATGCTCACGTTCATCGGCCTAGACCGCGGTCAGCGGATTTTCATATCATGTATACTGTATACTATACAACTATTATGCATATTGACTTTCTAAGTTCCAAGCGTTGTTTCGCGAAAGCCTCCGCGAAAGCAGTTATGTTGGAGAGGGCCCGCGCGAAAGGGAAAATTGCAACCGCGAAAGGCACGCGAAGGCTTTCGCGAAAGGGTTGTAGGAATACAAAGCTGTTTCCAACAGGTTTTCGCCACTGCTCATATGTGATTTTCGTTGTTTCGTTATATGGAGATACATTTTGAGTGATCCAGCTTTTACTTGTCCCAACTGGTTGCAGGAAGATCACAGTCAGGTCCTGTGGACTTTTAGGAAGACTCAGCACAAGGCCTGCCCCACGGTTGGAACTGACGGATAAGTTCAGCAACTCTAGATCTTGTGGAAGATGATCTGGAGGGAAGATTTCTGGGTATAGGGCAAAGATGATCCCTTTCTTCCCAGGCTTGGTGGTCTCTCCGAGATCGCTGGTCCAGCCAGGTGGTCCAGATCGCTCCGTGGGCCGTCCGTGCCGCCAATCTGCGGGACGAGGCGCGGTGCCGGGTGGATGCGCTGGCTGGGAGTTGTGCATTTGCTGCTTTTGGATCATCCAGGCAGCTTTTTGGAAGACCTAAGGCTTGCAGCACATGAACTTAGACTTGCAACACCTGTTCTGTGGCAGGAACGGTATCCAGCTCGATGGACTGGTTGGATGAAGCAGAAGGAGCAATCACGTATGGGCCCTTGGCGTCCACACGTGGTTCGCGTGGCTGGATGCGATGTATATATGGTGTCGGCCCCAACCATGTTCATGTGTCCTTTGGCTCGTTTGTAGCCCCAGCTGATTTGTTTTGCTAATATGACGATATTGAAGCGTGGAAGTGATAACTCTATACTGTACATAATTGTACATATATTGAATTGTTTTAGTAGCATACATATATATATATAGTTATATGTATATAGTTAAAATTGCATCATACCAGTTTTGACCCTGGTTTGGGGAGCCCCTAGTCTCCCACAGAGTTGTTGAAGTCCACATGCAACGTGGCAGGCTGCAATTGAAGGTTGGAGGGCCGTTGCATAGGTCTGTCTCAACACTCTCAACACGTACTGGGTTTCTGAGTTGTTTGGGGAACAAGGAAGCGAGTCATGCACAAGACATGATTATTATACAGATATCAAGTACACAACAATGTAAACTGTTGATGACTGTTGGTTAAACACATGGATGTTCTAAAGTTATTATGGTAGCTGCTTATGGATCAACAGCCTACCTTTGCTTTCCAAAAAACATCACTTGTCGCGGGGTCACTGCACTTTTGACCAATATCCTTTGGCCATTGGTTGCCCCCCACCAAAACACACAGGCCGAGCTTTTTGTGACGAAAAACTTGTGATCCCAAAAGCTCTCACAGGTCCCAGGCTCTAATAGAATGAGCCTGTCCTTTCCGGGGTTCTTTGCTTTTTGGGCCCCCCAGAGAGGAGGCTCTCGGATTCGGATTGAGTGATCTCACGGAAACCATGGGAGACCAGTCGACCACGACCATCCATGACAGCCCAGTCGACCACGACCGGCCACGACCGCGCGCCACAGCTGCCCGAGTTCACGCACGGACCGTTTTTTTTCCCCTGTAGTACAGGGGTGAGAGCAGTGCCGATCGCTTTGCAGAAGAGCACCGTTGCTTCATTTTTCCTGAAGTGTCCGTACACCAGAAGCGACCGCCGCGCCATGTGCCACTCGGGAATGCAAAGCAGATTCAATCGAGCATGGCCGTGGCCCAAAGAGACAGAGACCTCATCGAAATTACAAAAGGTAGCCTAGCAAGGGCTACCTTGAGCTTGCTTTGTAAATCAGATTTTAAAGGGGTAGCTATTAAACTATTTGGGACCAGTGATTGAAGTATCAATGACATTCCCTCCCTCCTTTTGATATCGACTTCCTTCAGAGACCGCACCTGCAAAGTCATTTACAAGGCAGTTCTGACACTCCACGGGTTGTCACACGACGCACTCGACTCTCACACCCCACTTCATCACCACGGGCTTTGTAGACAGGGAAAACCTGGGCCGCGCATACAGACTGCCAGACTGCACCACTGTGTAATGTGAAAAAAAACGGAACGCAAACAGATAGAACACCGGGCCACTGCCACTGCCGGTGCCATCCCATCCCCACTCCCTTTGTGACTCTTCTGGTCTCCGAAGCCCGGTCTGGGTCCGATCGGCCGTTGGTCCGGTCCGGTCTGCTTCGTTCAGAACCGGTCCAAAGGCAGCAGAAAACGAGTCAACGCCCTGGAAAGTCCTCGGTTTGCCTCGTAGTGAGTCATGTAGTTGAGCTCAAGTATCCAGTCCAGACCACACAGACGGAAAAACTGCGGCAACTAGCAACAAGTTCTGGAATGGAAGATCCAGACAGTTTTGGGGTTAAGAAGATCCAGGATTGGAACCTCCGAGGTGACCTTCCGCGTGACCGGGACGCCGACGCCGCCAAGATCCGTGAACACCCGGAGTCCTGTCGCCCGTGCAGGCGGGCATCAGGGTGCGCCCGTGGGAACACCTGTGGAAAGCCGCAGATTTGCGGGGTTGGTCGGTCAACGTGCTTCAAACATGTGAAAACCCTAGGCTTCAGGCTTTCATCGACTATTAATTCAATAGCCTTCCGGAAAGCGTGTTTTTTTTTTGCACAACAAGGACTATGATTTTCTTGCTTGCTCTTCCTTGCCTCTGACCCAGCTCAAGAACCGTAGACAAACCGTAGAGGGAACATTTTTTGGCGTAGAACGTCCGTGTTTCTTTCTCAGTGGAAGAGGCATGGAACCTGGCCTCGCAAAGCATATAACCCGATCACGGGTCAATCGAGAGGAAGGGGATTTCACACAAAAAGAAAACCGCTTTTCCGCAAAGAAAGCCACTCTTGCCACAACGCACGTGTTAAAAACAGTTACTGTACCATTTTAAGTATTAAGCATTGAAGTTCCGGATCTGAGAAGCCGGTTCCGGAACCTCAAAGCTGGAACAACACCAGTGAAGCAAGGAAGTGGGTTGATATTAATCCAAACCGGCACGGCTGCACCCATGTGAGAAGCAACAGGTTGGCTGCGGAGCGGACACGACAGAAGAGAAACAGGGTGAATGCTTCCCTCAAAAGGAGCTTTTGTTACCAGTTTGCATTGCACGTAGCTGTCCAGAGTGCTGCGTTTGCTCACGCTGGTGGCAGGCAGTTCAAGCCGGAGCTGCCCGAGTCCTGTCATCACGGCGCCAAGTGTGAGTATTGTGTCCTGGACTTTGGCAAATTCTCAAGAAAGTCCTCCAAAAAGTCCCCAACAGTCTGCGGAAATGCCGGGTTTTGTCAGTCATGAACAAGTTGGGTCTTCACGTTTGAGTCGGGTATGTGGACGAGTGTGGAGCCCGCACATTCAAGGTCACCATCCAGATCACAAAAAACCAAAGCATCGAAGCCAGAGGGGCCGCCACAACTTGCAGAAGAAGGACGGGGTGGATTTCGGCCTCTGAAATCCCAGTTGAACACTCCAAACCAACCCTGCTGGACCGATTTGACATCAAGTTAGGGCCTGATACTAATAGGGGGCTTCGCTCTGTTTTTGCGTGGGCTTGGGTTGCCTCGGGAGCAGCGTGGCAGGAATTCCAAGAGAAGCGTGGCAGCATGCCGCTGAAGCTCACAGAGGTGATCGACCGAATCTACAAGGTGATTAATGACGAGCAACAAAAGGTCAAGAAGCTCCTCAAGGACATCGACTCCATCGACAAGCCCTTTCGCGAGCGAGTGGAAACAGCCTTGCTGAATGCCATCAACGACATCGGTCAGAAGGCTCAGCACTTGAGGCCGGACCAAGCTCGTCTCAAAAGCTGTGCACCGATAGACCCAGTCCGCGACGGAGGGTCCGAGCAGTCGCAGCGGGTGGAGGTGGCCCATCGCTTCAAATGGCTCAGTGGCACCTTACATTTGGTGGTGCGGAAGTGCTGGTCAGAGGATCGAAGTGAAGACGCCAAAATGGAGATCATCGTACAGCATGTACCTTGGCGATACCCGGTCTCCTGGGCCGGAGACCAAAGCCATTGTGAGTGGTTTGGTCACCTGATCCAGCAAACGTGAACGGACGTGTGAAGCTATTTTTTGGAAGGAAGGCCATTGCAAAGGGAAGCAAGTTCCCCAGCTCCAAATATAAACCAAGACACTCCATGTATGCCAATGTATGCCATATTTGACGATCAGTTAACCCCTGGCACCACCCCGATGTAGGCCGGCAGTCCACAGGTCGTGTTTGGGAAACAGGGGATCATTTGGGTGGATCGATCATTTTGGTAGTCCTTTATTTTGGTCTTCACCATTGGTCTTTTTAGTGGGGTTTATTTGCAAGGCGTCCGTGAATGATGGTGCCCAGGAAAATCGATAAATAGACCTTTGGATGCTGCAGATGAATCGGGGCAGCGCAATCGCCGGGTGTTTTTGTGGATGCCGGTCGGTGATCAAGTGGCCACCCAAAGTCCGTGGAACGTCAGCATTTGGAGCACCAAACCTTGTACGGTCCCAATAGATAATCTCATGGAAGTGGAAAAAACACCGGTTTGGTCGTAGGAACATGGTCATCTGAAATCGTGGCCATGCATCCACTTCCGTGATAGATTGGCGAGTATGTGTATGTACAATTATGCATAGTGCATATTAATTGCACCCAAACAAACACTACCTTTTGGACAATTTCACGGTTGGGGATGATAATCTATCAGCTAATTCAAAGGGTATATATATATAGACATGTATAAATGTACTTGTGTCATGTCTAATTGCATGATAACTGTTGAGATGTTGACTGCACGTCATTGGTTTCAGGAAAGTACGCGTACAAACGCATTTGTACGCGTACAGTGGTCAAACCAAGAACCAAGAACCAAGATTGCACATACCTATGAAAAAGAATCTTGGTTTGGGGGTGTGTCCTTTGAGACCCAGGAGGTCATCCACATTGGCTGCATCAAACCAAGATTCCTGACAAGAGTTGTGTGCAATCTTGGTTCTTGGTTTGAGCAATGTACGCATGCAAATTCGTATAGTACATGCACTGGCAATGGAAAAATCCCCGAACATGACAGTTGTTTGTCTTGAGTGCGGCCCCTGAAATGTAGCCATTTACTCAAGAGTTTACTCACAACTTTTGGAGAATCTTAGGTCTTAGAACCTGAGAGGTCCTAGAGGTCCTTTCCTAAAACCAAGTCTTTCCCAAGCCCGCCATTTCGCAGTCAAACATAGAAAGTTTTCTTTTAGATAGAAGTAATCTCAAAATGGCAGTTATAGAGAAAACAATTCAATATGTGAATTAGATAGGGTGAATTTGATAGAGGTAATCTCAATATGCCAGTCAGTGCGAAAATAACTCAATGTGTGAATTAGATAGGTCAAAGTACTAGTTAGTGAGATTGCAACTCTCTTCTCTTCTTCTCTCCTCCTCCCTTCTCTTCTCTGCTGTTCTTTGAGAAGAGAATGGGAGGGAAAGGGGGTGAAAGAGAAGTGAAGAGGAAGAAATGCTACTGAGATGTCATGCACACCAGTGAGCCTGTCAATTGTCAAGTTATTGTGTGGTTGCCACAGTTGTAAAACATTCAGTTCCTAAATGAGTTGCATTCATGAACTTTCACATTTTACAAGTGCATTAAATACAACTAGCCGTGTGAGTTGCAGCAATTATATTATTGTAAGTTGTCATAAAAGCAAGTGATTGTAATGTCGAATAGCCAATTCACATATTGAATTTTTCAACTTGAATGTGAGAGTTGCTTTCATCAATTCCCATCCTTACACCTGCGTTAGATACAACTGAAGGTATGAGAAGGCTAACAATGTACATTATCAATTGTTGCGATCAAATCTCATATGCACATGTGCATTGTAAACACTTGACAACCTTGACAATATGAGTTGCTATCGCATCATATGATATTATCAGTTGTCATGCACACAAATAGTTCTGTGAATTTATGTGTTACCCTGTGATATTCGAACTTTTAAAGCATGCAGGTCAATGTTCTAGTTGTGCAAACCCAATGTTACAGTGTGAATTCATAAGGCTTACAATTCACATCGTCAGTTATATGCATCAAATGTCATATGTGCAAACAATGCGAGTTGCAGTGTTTTTGTTTGTTATCTCCACAATTGATTTGTAGAATGATACTTGTTTGTGTGACTGATTGTGACTGTCACACATGTATAACTTTAAATTCCTAGTTCGAGTTGTTTAAATGTAATGTCACAGTGTAAAAAGACAAACTAACAACTCATAAAATCTCAGTTGTACTCAAGTTGTACTCATCAATGATCATTGCACTGGGTACAGCTGACGGTATGAATCGGAGTGCTCATGTCATGTTGTTCATTGTCATGTACACGATTAATTATGTAAATTGTTTTGTCTTTGTGTGTGTGTTTTTTTGGGGGGTCTTCGCACTTGTACACGATGAAATTCACGATTTATAATTTTGAAATTCACTTGATCAGTTATATCCATCAGTCCATCAGTTCTTGTATTTGCAATTGCATTCGGTACTTTCTGATTATGGTTGACATCTGCGCATGTTGTTCCTCAGGAGCCTCAGATGTCACCACAAGCACGTACAAAGACCACAAGCACGGTCAACATGTTCAATATGTCCTCTGGAAATCTCACCTGTTCTCATTGCACATACCGGTGAGATGGTCTAAAAGGATCCTCCTGCCAGCTGTCCACTGTCCACTACTTCCTTGGGTGGCCACTGGTGGCCACGACAAAACAGAAAAAAAACCGTGGCACTTTGGTAGAAATGGACCGTTTGGATGTCCATCGCATTTTGACATGTGAGATGCTTTGCACCCCAGAACTCCAGAACATGTTGTAGAGGGATGGTGGTCGTTTTTAGGGCTCGACTCTGAACCTCAGGCAATTCATTTTGTAGAGAGCCACTGAGCATTTTTGGTGCTTGCTGAGGGACATGCTTGAGGTTGTGCAGTACATGTTGTAGTAGCTCCAAATCCTATGTGATTTTTCATACACAAAGGTTTAGTGCACCATATATCCATAGGTCATTTTTAGTACTGTGTTTTTGCATGGTTCCTTGCATTTTGTAGCAAATGGGGTTGCACAAACCGTTCTGTACTACAAAGTGTATTGTCCAAGGCCACCTGTCAATCTGCAAAGAAGATCTAGAAGGTAGGTTCTTTTGGGGTGGGTGCTATTTATATATACCTGGTACAGATATGTAATCTTATTTAGTTATGCCAGTCCTACAAAGTGCCCAGACCGCCGACAGCTCAGATGGATGTCTTCCTCGGTGAGCTCGAGAAGGAAACGGCGCTGCTTCACCGCAGGGTGCAGCAGCTCGATCTGCTCCTGGCGGATGTGTTCCTGGCGATGTGCCAGCCGGACGACTTGCAAGGCGTGGGCATGGCGACGGCGAAGGGTGGAGATCTGGTTGCGCGTGGTGTTTGAGACCCACATTGGAGCCTGATAGGATCTGGAGGTGATAGGCATGGACCAGACTGGAAGACGACATGCTGTCCTCGTGATGAGTCGATCCCTGAACCGTTGTCGCGGGGAGATATCGAATGGATGACCGACACTGGGCCGAGAGTGTCAGGACTAGCCCAACAGGTTGCCCAGATACTCCATTGTACTCCATGTATGGAACATATTATGTAATATATGACCGGATTGGACCCTTAAGGCAAATATGGCAGCCTCGTGGAGTGTTGGGATTTGATATCCTTTTAAGATTGTTTAAGTTGAGAAATCTCAGTCCTACTTCCTTGGTGTTACCCCTCTCAGAGCAACATAAATCATTTGTGAAGACGAGGTTTCCCTCGGTCTCGCTCTACCCCGACCCTTCTCCAAATCCGGCATGCAGTTGACCTATGAACACCTCCAAACAAAGGGTGACAGTGGGGAGACGGAGACCACAACCATCCAGTTCTGTTCAGGATTCTCTTTCCCAGGCCAATGCGAACCTTTTCAGGCGGCTGCCTTCCCAGAACTTCCAATGACTCATTTTTCCCTCCACCTGGTCGTCATAGGTCACCAATCTACCGCTGGAAGAGGCCCGGGCAGTTCATGAGTCTGACCGATCAATTTTCCATCTAAGAACCCCAAGAGTGGTGCTGGTTTCGAACCCCAAGTCGACTATCCCAGTGACGGGTTTGCTAGTGCATCCGGTAACGGTCAGTGCATCCGGTCACCATCTCCTTGGTGCTTGGGGTCCGGTCCTCAAAGGCCGAATCCAGGAGGTCGCGCGCGAGGACATCCTCACCAACCGCTTCGACCAGGAGACCCTGAAAGAACTGTGCCTGGATGCCGGGCGCTTGCTGTGGCTCGCGGTCAATTCAAAGACAAGTTTTTGGATTTGTGTTTTTCCCGAAAGGATGGACGTCTTTGTTTGTTGTTTTAAGTTGTGTTGATTGTTTTTTGTTTTGAAATGGACCTGTTTTAAGTTTCTAGAGTAATGTCGACTTCAGATTTGTAAATATCCCTTGAATAAAGCTAAGCAAATCCAGAACAGATTTATAAATTACCCCCAAATAAAGCTAAATGTTTTCACCCCTGGCCCTAGGTATCCCAAATCCAGCCTCGATGCAGTTCCTTTCCTTTATAGATTCTTATACTAAAGGAAAAATCTCTACCAATACTAAACAGTTGAAAACAGTCTTTATATCTATTCGAGGTGTTTCAGGGGGGGGGGGCCCCCCCCCTTACAAATCAGAGGTGGACATTATATATATTATATAAAGATAGAAAATTGTTTCTAGATGGATGGAAAGAAACGATCTCCATCACATTTCTCATGGGAACCTTACGGTTCTACATTGAACATCGATTGTATTGGTGGCTTCGCGTGGTTCGCTACCGGATGAATGCTGCTCGGCTCGGAGGGTTGGACCTCCCGGACAGGTGGCAGAAAGTGGACCGTGAGAACAAGGAGCAAATGCAGACGGCCACTAACCTCAAGGACTTGCTGCAGCTGGTGCAGAAGGACTTGGAGCAACAAAGCAAGGATCTCCTTTCAGATGAAGAGTAACACAGCCCAGAGTGGCCCCAGATGTTCAAAGTAGATTATCACACCAAGTATAGGTAAATTTAGTTTGTGCCTGTACCATCCTGTACCCTTTTGTAAGCAGTGTTTGGGGACCACTCTGAGTCAGTGGTTTTTGAGTGGCGCGAATTTGTGGCCGCTCAAGAGGTACAGACACTCTTCATCACCGTTCATTTTTGGGCAGACTAAGTGAGTCATTGTTCCTGCCCGGAGTTCAAGCTGGTAGCTTGGAGAAACGGCAACTCCGAACAACTCCTCTTAGTATATACATTTGTTGACTGTTGATGGCCAAAAACATGCTATATCTAGAACCGTCTAAAACGAGATGATATGACCATCCAGATGGTATCTGAATTTGATCCAGTCAGAGAGATTCTCCCAGCAGTTTGACCTACTGATCCGGCAGTCTGCTGCGAAGCCCGAGCTGCCCGAGCTCAGAAGCCGAGTTTCGGGCGAGACGGAGTCGTTGGCGCAGCGGCTGGAGTTGCGGTGGGTGTCTCAGCGGACGAAGCATTCGAACAGCAAAACATGCGTCGCGGCCAGTCCCACGGCCATGGGGCTCCGGCTGGGTCCCACGTTGGAAGGGGCAATCCCGTGAGAGATTCTCCCTGCCAGGTCCATAAGTAGATTGTGTCCCTCCACTTTCGCAGATGCTGCCGCCAAAGTGTTTTGCCTATTCCTATGGCAAGACACTGTCAAAAGCGCCTTTGGAAGAGGCCTATTTGAGGGAGCATGGTGGACTCCTTACTTGGCCAACCCCCAGAACTTCCAATGACTCCTGAAATCTCGTTAACTTCTATCACCTCCCGAGGTGAACCAATTGCGACTCAAAGACATTATTGCAGTATATTAGTCGTTTTCCTCCCCATGAGTCTCTGAGTTGTTAGTTCCTCATGTTCCCTCCACGGACTCCGGCGCAGGCAGCTAATTGTAAGGGATGGGAAGCTCCGTGTTCGAGAGATGGAATGGAGTTATCATGGCAAGTATATATAACTATTATACTATAGCTATATATATATATTAATATGTGCAACTCTGCCTGTATTTACAAACAAAACACACACCCGTATAATTATATATGTATAATTTATGTGTGTATATAATATTAGTATATATATATACAAACCATCACGAATCTAGTATTTGGGTCCTGTCCACGCACACCCAAGAAGCATGGTGATGGCGTTGCAGCTGGGGTCTGGATGGCCATGGCCTCCCAGGCGAGCTCCTGACCTTCAAGACCGGCTCCCCGCAACGGGGCTCAGCCGCACCGGGCACGAAGTCCGAATGCACCGGGGGTGAAGAAGAGATGGAACCCACGGATGCAACATGTACGCGATGATTCCATCCATCCACCAGACGGCCAGACAGGGGTGGGCCGTCCGCCATGGCTCCAGTCAATTGGTGGACTCCAAAGAAAAGGCTTCTGAGCAAGATCGACTCTTGGGGGGAAAAGCCTAAAGCACCGGGCAAAACGCTGCGGACGACGCGCGAAACGCTGCGGCATGCGTGGGGACGCACGGAACCCGGGCGTGCGACACCGGCGTCACCCGCGGGTGAAGACCTGCGGGGTATGGCACCGTCGACTTGGCGCCCGCAGGAAATGGCTCAACTTAAGAGAAGACAGCAGCTATTAGCTGCAGATTGGCCCAACTGAGAGGTGCCACATGTGCGACATGTGGGACATGGTGATGTGCCTATGGCCAATGATTTTTCAATGAGTCAACATGTGAGCCCATACTTCTGCATGCCCTCTGAGTGTGCCCCCTTTGCTCTAGCGGCTGCTGGATGTGTAGCGAAAATGCGGAGAGCAATCCAATTGGATAAAACTGAAATTGCATTGGGGCGAATGACAAGAGCATTCCAACTTTGGGGGAACCTTGAAATCAGGAACCTGAGAAAACGACGGCGAGAAAGTCTAAGTGCTGCCCTAAACGCTGACCCCGTGCACAGCTTGCCATGAGCGATTGCTGGTTCGGCCTGGTCCAGAGCTTGAGGAGATGGGCACTTGAGGAGCGGAGCTCACGTTCACCTCACGGGTCTGCGCCACCCAGACCATTGATGGTTGCGACCTTTCGATCGGGGTAAGCGGATCCTTGACTGATTTGGCATGGTTAATGGATGTTAATGGTGCTCAGGATCGGGGGAGCAGTGTTCTTCAGGGTTTCACTCCAGAGATTTAGCGGCTTCTGTTGTCAGAAGTGCTTTCTTTTGGGGGGGGCTGTGCACCTCCTAGAGCAGAAAGTTACAGTAATAATACTCTATTTAATTACTGTGTGAATGGTTGCACCCATGGGTGGAAATCACCACCGGATCACACCAATGATAAAACCCTGGAGTAGAGCCACGCAGATGGCGAAATGAACACGAAGTCACTGGCCTGGGTACATGACTTCAGATGGCTCCAAAGTAGGAAGCTGAACAATCCAAACATATCCACACCACAAGCTGGACCGTACATGACCCTACTGATGGAGAAGCTCCTGTCACCTGGCCAAAAGACTAGAGTCAAAAATTATAACGTCAAACCTCAAGTGATGCAGGAATTCTTCTGTCCAAGTGCTCCCAGGTTGTCCCCCTTGCGACAATTGCCCTCGACAGGACCTCGCACCACCGCCCAGAAAGCCACGCTGTGCGACAGACCCCCGACACTTGGAAGAAGAGGAATTGCCCAGACGCCGACTCTCCTCGGGCGGGGTCCGGACAGGAACTCCCCCGAATCCTCGGGGATTCGGGGTCCGGACGGTTTTCTCAGCAATCCCTAGGGCCCTTGATCGACCAAGGGCTGTGAACGGAGTCAGGATGTTGCATTTGCCAGAGTCCGAAGCAACAGAAAAGGTTTGATTCGTGTCCAGATCCCTACTGTGGAGGGTGCGTTCCCGGCTTCTGAGCGCAGAGATTCGTTTGGGGTAAGCCATGCTATCGATGTCCATAAGCATCCATAAGCCAAGCTATCCAGACTGATGCAGACCCAAATGAGGTCCCAGAAACATGGTGTCCAAACCAGTGGTCGAAGGGACTCAACACCTTTTCGTTCCCAGCTTTGAAAGAGATAACTCGCGAGGCGCAGAATCTATTTATATAAGAAGCTTAAAGTGGTCCCCAAATAGATAGTGGCACGGTGTCACATACATTTTTAGAGGGGATTTGCATGGATTTGCCAACCTCTATCTATTTGGGGTCTATATAACAGATAAAACGGACGTTTCATGGTATGTGTGCGTGACAGGTATGATAAAAACATGCAGAGCGCACTCTTAGACATCCTTGACAAGTTGACTTCATTCAAACCAGCGATAATACCGTGTCCTTATGGGGACAACTTCTGAGGGACCAATGGACCATCACAAAATATCACAAACAATTCCAACCGTTGCGCAATGACTGGGTCCTGCAACCAGCAAGAGTCGAGCATTTAACAGCCTGGTGCAACTAACCAGAAGATCACAGGATTTTGTTGGGCACTCAGCTCCTGGGTTTTGGCGCTCCACTGACTAAGCATGGCCAGACCTGCAGACCTTTTGGCTCACAGAGCCAGGCCGCTGGCCGCTCGTCGTGGTTCGGTTCAGCAGCTTGGCTGGTGAGTGATCCTCATCCATCGGATTCTTTCTTGACAATTCTTGCTTTATAGAACGCCCAGTCCAAACCACTGGTCCAAGACCAAGCTTTTGACCGTTCGGACCGCTTCTTTGCCTCGAAGCTTGTTGTTTCATCCCAGTCACTTGGTGAAATCGGCCGGATACCGGTGGAAGTGTGCTGGTCGTCGTGGCAAGCATGACATGGCCCTGGCCCATTTGGACAGATGTTCAAGCCCAATTGGCGATTTGGCCGTGAGCAGCAGCCTTCAGAATGACCTAAGTTCCAGCATTCATCACTGATGAGTCCCTCTTAGGGAAAAAAGTCTAGTCTAATTGTGGCTGATTCCTATTGAATATCAAATCCAATGACAAGCGATGGTGGGGAAGAATGGCTTGAGAACCGACTCACCTTTTGCCGCCGCAGGAAGAAGAGTGGCGGAAGCGCCTCCCCCTTTTAGAGGAAAGAAGGAACAGATTAGAACAAAACCGTATACAGGTCAAAGCCCTCATTTTGCTGGAGTTGGTCATAATAAACAACAATTAGGTTTTCATCACCAAATTGGGACCTGCGTCAGGCTGGACCTGTAACCAAACGATCGGAGCATGTCTTCAGGGAACTCCTTACTGCGCCGACCAAGGGCGGATGTAGGGAGTACCTTTGACGGCTTCTCTCTTCAGCCCAGGTTGCAAGAGAAAATCCATCGAAGCCCAGGGCCGTGTGGCATGTGTTCCTGGTCATCCTTCTCCACCCCGGAGGGGTGAAGCACCACGATGGGATTGCATACAGTTGTTGTGTTCCTGGACCCTCCAACAGGTGTTTGACCATGGTGACCATAATCAAACAAGTCCGGGGCCTTGCAACCGTCCTGGTTGCCACACTCTCAGAAGCGCAGAAGTTGTGTGTCCCTTTCGGCGCATCATGTCTGCCCCTGGCGAAGCACAGAAGTTGTAACTTGTTTGTGGCGAATCTCGCCGGGGATGCAGCTAGGCTTACTGTCCACGCTGGGCTTACTGGCCTGTTGTGCTGGATGTATTCGATGGGCTGTTGCAGGTCATGGTTTTTCTGGGCTTCATCGCCGCTTCCTTGGCCATCAACATTGTGGTTTTAGCAGCTTGGAAGGAAGTGCACCTCCCATGCTTGCAGAAGCATGCAGAAGCAGACCGTAGCATACCTTTCTTTCTTCAGGTTTAGAGGGGGCTGTTCCATCATCATTCGGTGTGCATGTGAATAAAGTCTCTCAGTGTATGGCTGTACCAAACGCGGGGCTGCCAATGCTGTAAGCCAGAGAGGATGCTGGCGTTTGTGGAGCCCAAAGGCCTTGAGATCAGGTGTCCATAGCTGGTGGATCAGATTGGCACACCAACCTCATTGTTCATAGGAAACATCAGAGTCATGCAACACCTGCTGCAAGGATTTAATTTAGGGAA